CTATCTATCTATCTATCACATATCTTTCTTGATCACATCTATCCTGACCCTAGCTATAATCACTGTGTTATAGGTAACCATATAGTCTAGCATCACCTTGGTTTAATTAAGCCTTTGAGCCTAGGCAAAGTCTTTGCTAACCCCTGTCACCACCCAGTGTGCACATCAGCAACAATGACCCCTGAATGTCATGACATAATCAGCAGGAACAATGGGTTGAATACTTATGTCCTCCTAAACTCAATGTTGAAATCTAACCAGCATCATGAGGGTATTGGAAGACAGACGAGGCTGTTTGGGGTTGACTAAAGATTTCTCATGAAGTTTCCTTATAAAGAAGGGCTCTGAGTAGGGCATAGAGGTGTGTGCCTGTAACTTTAATGCTTAGGAGGCTGAAGCAGAAAGAGTGTAAGTTCAACCGTCACCTCTTATACTATACGAGAGAAAAAGTACCAACTATCAAATAAGAAATGGGCTCACACTTAGACATAGACTGTGACAGTGTCTTGGCTATGAAGAAGAATAACTACAACTGTGAGAAATAAATGCTATTCCTTGTAGAGCTGTGATGTTCTGTGATAGCAACCCAAACAAACTGGAACAAGGGTATTTTGGAAATGATGAGATGAAATGAAAGTAGTCAAGTTTAATAATTTAGACTCTTCTAAGAAGAGAGATGTGAGCCCAGACACAATCAGGAGGTCATCTTCATAAATGGCTCACATCTCTGAAGAAATATTCTGGCATGTCACTCTCCCAGCTGGAGATGTGGGGGACCCCTCCCTCTCCCCACTAAGACTGACTTTGGCAGGCAGAATTACAGTTATCTAGAGGTGTTCATGGTATGATTCACCCAAAACTGTGGATGTGTTACCTTATACAGTCAGAGAGACTCTGGAGATGTGATGAGGTGAAAAACTCTGAGATGTGATCACTCTGGGCTTTTCAGATGTCTTGGTAGACCTCATGAGTCCTTGAAAGTCGAAAGGAGGACAGGAGTGTGTGCCGGACAAATGGTATGCAAGAAGCATGTGGCTCACCGTTGCTGGTTATGAAGGTGAACTGCCAAGAAATGTAGCAAATCCTAGAAGCGGAGAATGTCACCAAGTTTGAAGCCAGCAAGAATATGAAGACCTCAGCCTACAAACATGAGGACCCACGTTCTGCCAATAAGACTGAGCGACCATTTGCTTCTCTAGAATCTTCAGAAAGGAGAGTAGCCTGAGGACGCCTTGAGCTTAGCCTGTTAAGAAACAGATTTGGCTGGTTTCCAGACTGTGAGATTTTAAATTTTCCGATGCTTTATGCTAATGAAGTTCCTATAGCGTGTGTGTGTTTTGGAAATGCTTATGCACGCATGCGTGAAAGTCACATTGGTCATCTTCCTCTATCGTTCTGAACCTCGTTTCTAGTTTTCAGACAGGGTTTCTCATTTATTTTGGAGCTCACAGATTCAGAAAGACAAGGTGGCTAGAAGGCTCCAGTGATGGTCACATCTCTCCCCTCCCTGTACTAGGACGGTATTTCTAGGCCACCGTATGTATCTTTTCATGTGGGCGTTGGGATCAGAACTCAGTTTGAGTGTTGGCTTGTTTGCACTTTTCTGCCTGAGCTATCTTTGATAATTGTTAATGACAGCAATAGAAAACCAACATAGTGATCCTCAAAAGTTTAGATGAAAAAAATCCAATAGTGTGGAAAAAAAAAAAAAAAAGTAAAATCAGTGTTCTTGTGTCCTGGTGGAATTTGAATACAAACATCACACTCTAGGCTTCTAAGGTCTAGACACCTGTAGAATAAAGAAAAAATGTGGACCATTTATGAATCCAGTTTCAAGGAATCTTTTCTCTCTAGAAACATGTTCTAAAATTGTTTTATTCAAAACTGAGAATATTTTATTAGTGGCAAGATTATGCTGGCACATCTGTTTATCCAATTCTGTCTACAAGGAGTTTATATCAGTCTGTCTTTCCCCCTTTCTCTCTCCCTCTCTTTCTCTCTTTCTCTGGCTCTCTCCCCCCTCTCTCTGTCTCTGTCTCTCTCTCTGTCCCTGTCTCTTTCTCTGTCTGTCTCTCTCACACAAACATGTGTGTGTTTGTGTTTGTGTGTATCTTTGTGTGTTTGTGTGGGAGATAGAGACAGTTATTTATGTTTATAAATATTATCTCTATATTTACATATGCATTTCTATACACGCACATACACACACACACAGAAATAGATATGTACATATAGCCTTCCTTCTTCTTATCTCTATGTTCACACTGGACTTTGATCTTTAGATCAAAAGGGATGCCCCCTTTTTTCTTTAATGAAGAAAGTAAAAACAGAGAGAAGGGTCTATGTTTTTTTGGTAGGTTCTCTGCTGTTTACGTCATGCAATACACCAGCTGACAATATGACAACAAAATTAGGGGTTACAAAGATGATTCAGTGGTTAAGAATATTTGCTTCTCTTTAAAAGAACCTGAGTTCAGTTCCCGGCACCCATACTGAATGGCTCAGAACTCCCTGTAACGCTAGTTGTTGGGAACCTAGTGCCATCTTCGGGCCTCCACAGGTAGCTGCCTGAATGTGGTACACATAAACACATGTGTGTGCGTACCCATATACATAAATAAAAATTAATACTTTAAGTTTTATGTTGGAGTAATTGTGAGATAATTCTCACATCTGTGAGAAACAACAAAGATAGAAGCCAGGCCTTGTTTATCTAGTATAGTACAATATCACAATATAGAATCACATTGACATTGGCAAAATAAAAAAAAAAAAAAAATACAGTATTTCTATTCAAATTCACTTCCCTTCCTCTCTGCTCCACCTTTCTCTTTAGTGGGCATTAATGTGACACTTGTTTCTATGATTTTGCTCTTACATAACATACTACATGTTACATGCATAACAGCCCTGCTACATAAATACAACCATACAGAATATAACTACCGGGTTCTTTTTTTGATTTCCATCCAGATTCTTTTGTCGACTGATAGACTATTTCTTTGTTTTGATGAACTGCATTTCAGGTACATCAGTTTTTTATTTTAGTCAACCAGCCCACAGAAGACATGTGCTGTTTCCAGCTTTGTTATAAAACTGCTACAAACATTTGCACAGTGAGCTTGTGTGACACTAAGGGCTATTTTCCATGAGATACACACAGAAACATGACTGTTTGGCCATGAAGTTGCAGCACAGCTAGTGTTTCAAATCCTTCCACGCTTCTTCGGAGTGATTGCCACATTCTACATTCCTACCGGTAATAGATGACTGATAATTGACTCTTAATTAATCAACGGTTGGTTTGTTTCTCTTTTCCATTCCATCATTCTGATAGGTATACAGTAAAATATAATGGGTTCAGCTTGCGTTTTTCTGACAGACAATAGGGCAGATCTTTTATTGTGAATTTATTTTTATATCACTTAAGTCCTTATTTATGAATTTGTCTGCATTCAAATTTTAACAAGTTTTAAAAACGTTTTACTCTTTTACCAAATATCTTGTTTGCAAACATATTCTCCCAAACAACAACTTATCTTTAAATCTTTTCACTAGATATTTCTCAGATCAAATAATACATGGGTTTAACAAATTTTCTTTTTGTAGACTGTGCTTTTGGTGTAAAATATAAGACCTTTTGCTTAGTCTTAGAGCTCATGTTTTATAATAAATGTGTTTGAGTTTTGTTTCCAATGTTTAATTACAGTCTATAATCCACTATAAGGTGTGTTTTATATAGTGACAGCCTGTCTCTCTCTCTCTCTCTCTCTCTCTCTCTCTCTCTCTCTTTAACACATGAGTGTCCAGATTGCAGCATTATCTGTAGAGGAGGCTAGAAGTGGTCAGCTTATTTTTCTTCCTTTGAGTTGCTCTGCAACATATTTGTGCCACATATGTAATGATTTTTTTTAATTTGTTTTACTGGTTTTGCATCCATGCTTCCATCTTGTACGTGCCTAAAATTACTCTAAGATGGAGTGTTATAGACTAATTTCTATTCCACCTTAATTTTCTAACAGTTTTATTTTTATTTTTTTTTTAGATTTTCTGGCTCTCTTCCATTTCTGTATACAATTTATAATAATCTTGTTGTTATCTGTAAAATGGCCTTGCAGATAGGAAATATGTCAAATCTAATATGAGTTTGAGGAGATCTGATATCTTTACTGTACTGAGTTTTCAAGTCCTGCCACAGCAGGTCCATGTAACTGTCTATAGTCTCTGATTTCTTCCATTAGAACCCATTAGAATCTCGTCCCTTTCAGGCACCAGTCCTGTATGTGTTTTGTTAGATATTAGTAGGCTGAGTATTTCTTTGTTTTGCTTTTGAGCAAATTTAAATGATGCTTTAACTCAATGCCCATATGGTCATTATGAGTATACAAAAATAATATTTTACATTTTTCCCTTTTTAATTTATTTTTTATTTATTACAATTTATTCCCTTTGTATTCCAGCTGTAGCCTCCTCCCTCACCCCTCCCAATCTCTCCCTCCCTCCCTCCCTCCCCCCCTCCCTCCCCCTTCTCCCATGCTCCTCCCACCAGTCCACTGATAGGGGAGGTCCTCCTCCCCTTCCATTGACCCTGGCCTCTCAGGTCTGTCTGCACTGTCTTCCTCTGGTAAAGCTCTCCCCACCCCACTCCCCAGCTAGTTTGACCATTTCTGTCATCTCAGTTGGGAGTTCTACAAATTGCTTTGTGTAATTTTTTTCTTTGGTTTGAAATCTTTCTGGTCGTTAGCCTGATGAATAATTTCCTCAGAAAGCCTAATGGTAATACAGGTAATGCGTCTGAAGGCTGAGTCTTACGTGATTGTTTGCTTCAGCCAGCTTCCTGCAGGTCAAAGCAGGCAGGGCAATGCTGCCCTACGATTGCCAAGGCCTCAACCCTTTAGGCTCCCAGATTACTTCAGGTGATACCGGAAGGGGGAGCCTTTCTCATTTCTGCCTTTGGAGGTTGGGACAGAAAGCTCTGTTCTGGTCTCACTGACATCTCCCTGGCTATGACTGCAGAGATGGGCATCAAGGCTATCACATGACTTCGTTACTCTGAACTACATCTCCTCGAAATTGCCATCACGGTTCCACTGACACCAAGGTAGGAGGCTGAGCACAGGTTGCTAAGGGCTGTAGGAGCTAAAATTCTCCCGACCTACTTTGTCCTCGTAGCCTCTATGTGTGGTGTTTGTGTGGCTAGTTAGGAAAGCCCACTGTTGGTGTCTGATTGTGGAAATGTCCGTTTCACAGGTGCTATGCTCAGAGTGGACAAGAGGAGGACGATGCTGCTTCTTTCTGGAGGGTATGGAAGTCCTGCTCCCCACTTAGTCCTTGCTGCACTATCTGGTCCAAGGGATGACTTGCAACCTTCCCAGCCAGCATCCTGGAATGTGGACTTCCCCTTAGCCTCTGATGCTACAATTCAGAGTGGGATTTTCTCTTCTAACATTCTGCCATCGTGAAGCATCTGTACATTTTCTGCCTTGCTAGGCTCTCTCTGTCATTTGGCTAGGGACCCCCACCCCCACTCCCACCATATTCTTTGCGGGTCCAGGTCCCTAGTTGGTCTCCATGTTACTGCCAAACTTTTTTGCTATATACAATTCATAATACGGAAAACCCTAGCTTTGCTTGCAAGAGGCAAAAGGGAAATTTTATTTATTCCATTTTCCCATTCCTGGAAGTCCTTAGGTTTTCAATTTTAGTTTGGTTTTCAATTAGAAAAGAAAGGGCAGAATGCCCTATGCCCTCATCTTAACAGACAGTTGCTACCACTGACTGATATCCTAATTTCATTCTTCTTTAAAAATAAAGGCTGTTTCTGCTCCAGGAAATGCTGAGTAGACCAATAGAGCATCAGAGACGCTTGCCTTCAGGTTCTGAAAGCTGCCTCAGAAGGACGGCCACTGTCACGAGTTCTGAGACCTTTTTTTGATCCTAGGGTCTAACAGGTGAGAGATGGCAGAGTCCCACTTAAGGAAAATGAGTTGGGGAAGACGGGAGAGAACTGAAACAGAGCAGGATACCTACAAGAAAGCAAAAAATCTGGGCGCATTGACACAAGTCCACACATGCACCCCCTGTTTTGTTATAGAGGACGAACAGAAAGGCTTCCAGGGGAAGTATGCACCACTGTTGGGGACAGGGGGAAGTTGGAACCGCCAGAAGTGAGCCTGTGAATGCAGCCAAGTGGGTGAACAAGTTCAGGGCTGAGACCTGGTGTTCACCAGCGAGGTCGAGGGGCGGGGACTGAACTAAGGGGAGGGGAGTGAGCAGGGAACAACAGTGAAACGCTCCGTAGTCAGTCTGGGAGATAGGAGACCTGGGAGGAAGGTGGGAATTAGGCTGAAGGGTCGCTTCTACCTATCTTCAAGATCTGAGCAGACCGCAGGAGGCGCCACCAGGACGTCTCTGCAGCGCTTGGTGGCCAGGGAGGAGCGAGCATCAATCTCTGCTGCGGGTCTCAGCCAGCCACCGCCGCTCCCGCCTGCACGTCTCTGTCCCCAGCGCAGGGCGCTTGGCTTCTTAGCCTTCCCCTGCGCTGTCAGCTTTTCTCTACCCTTGATCAACCATGGATGTCAACTACCTGCTTTCTGTGCAGAGGTAAGACTCGCTTCCTCATCTGCCTAATGCGATGTTCCTCAAACTCCGCTGGGCACTGGAGATCACAGGCAAAGTTGCTTTCCATCTTTGTTCTGCTAGAGATTCCCATGGAAAAGTCAGGCGCCAGCACTACTGAGCCTTGGGATCAGCCCTCAGGGGACCTTGGTCCCTCTTAGCTACCCCACTGGGCTGCCAGCTGGGTGGGGCCTGTGTGCTGGAAGTGCCAGATGGAGGCCAGCCAGGTGCCTGCTTCTAAGGTTTGGGGGATTAAGGTCTCCTCTATCCAGCGAGGTACCGGGGAACCAGACTTTTAACTGTGTTCCCTGAAGCAGTTTTGTGCCTCAGCGCGGTTTCCAAGGTGGGAAACAGAGACCTGAGGGATCAAGACCAAAGTCAGTTTATCTCCAGTTCTATTGATCTTGACCTGGATTAGTGTTTGGGGTTTGGGGGTTAGCTACAGTGTCCTGTAGGATGGGGTGGGGGGAGGCGAGACCTCTTAGGTCTTTCTCTGACACCTAATCTGAGCCCACCTGTGATCCTGGGCAGAGGAGACCTCGTAAGTCCTTTAGAATCTCTGAAGCACTCCCCAGTTCCACCTAGTCCCTGAGTCCCCTTCCCAGACAGGTAAGTGCAGCCACCTGAGGGATCTGGTTACACTGTTTTGTTTGGTTGGTCTCCTCCTGTTTCCTTTCCCATTGCTTCCATTCTCCTCAGGCTCAGCCGAGGATTCAAAAGCCTGTAATTTTTGTTCTTCTCCTTATAAGTCTCTTGGGGTTGAATTGGGGCTGTGGCTCCGTGGCCGCCCAGCTGAGCAGGTAACAGTGAGCCCTTTGTGCTCTGCCCAGCATGCAGCTGAGCATTCACAGTTGACACCTAGAACCTAGAGCTTCTGGAGGGTTGAGTGCAGCAACCTGGCTGTCCTGTTGTCAGCCATCTCAGTCCCACTTTTCATCTTTCAGGGCTCAGGGGCAATCTTGTATGCTCTTACTTCCTATCCCCACCTCAGCCCCAACCAACCAAACACAGCTGCAGTGTAGCTATCAGCTGACACTACCAGGCACTGAAGTAAGCACTTGTGGCTCAGATTCTTGGATTGCACTGGAACACAGCAAGACCCAACACTCACAGACTAAGGCTCACACACCGTAGCCCAAGACAGGGTGGGAGCTGGGATAGAGATAAGGGTACAGCGGGTTATATTTCGCCCTTCAGAGGATCAGAGCCTGCTGTCCACAAACACAAGTGTTTATGTTGTGGGATAGAATCAGCCTTCCCAGCTTGCCATCCTTAGCACAGCTCTGCAGACTTAAAGGCCTGTGAGTTTTCTGCATGGTGCCTAGGGCAGCTCTTAAGTGAGTCTACCTCTCTGGTTCACCCAGGAGCAAATGACAGACTCTTTCTATTCCAGCCTCATGTCTGAGAGAGGAAGTAGGTGCAATGGGAGGGAGTCTTTAAGAGCTTAAAACATAGCCAGCGTTGTTGAATCTAGGTGGAAGTATAGCATGCTTTAAAAGCAGAGTACGTTAGCGGTTTACTGTTTACAACTTGGAGAAATGGTCCTTAGAAGTGACAGGTTGAGGGTTAGGGGTGCAGCTCACTTAGAGAGCCTGTGGTGCCTTAAGTCCAGTTCTCAGTTTCTCCACCTCACTCCCACAAACTAAAATGGTGAACTAAGTAGTCACAGCATTCCAAACAAACAAACATAACAACCACAACAACAAAACAGGTTCTTTTCATAATGAATCGCATACTTTAAATTCATCTTTTCAGATTGTCATGATTGTGGTTCAGTCATGACTCAAATTTCCTTCTAACACTGGAACACTTCCTAATATATTAGAAATACACCATTCCAATAATTTATTAAGATCTTTTCTAGTGTAGTACCAAAAAATGGCTTCATAAAGAGTAAACTAGTTAGAGACCCATATCTGCATCTAAATAACATATTTCCAGAAATAAGAGCCACTTACTCACCAAGAAACTCATTTCCTCTAAGTCAGTATCCTTATTAACTCCTTTATTTTAGTGCAAGTAAGGATTAGAGCCTTTCATAAGATTTTGTGGGAGGCCATCCAAATTAACTTTTCATAGATATGTAAAACAGAATTAGAGTTTGAGTTGATACCTGTATGCCCTGTATTAATCACAGGACTTGTTTCTGAAAGCTTGAATTTGAAGATCTGATAATTGGATATTGTACACAGGTGTTTTTGAGAATATGGCAAAATGATGAAGTAACAAATTATTACTGGTCAAGAATGCATTGTACAAATCCGAGACGCTTTCTATCTACTTAAGTTAAGTTAATGATTAAGATACCATCATTTCTTTTAAGCAAGATAAAATAATTTAGACATCTATGCACAGAGAAAACATGATTTGGGAACACAGTGAATTAATTATAGGATACTTTGTGCTGTTGGTACTTTCTACTTTCTTGGTGATTTCAGTTAAAACAGAATATAAAGGGATAGTAATCAAGCAATGCTCTGTGGTGAGTGATCTCAATTTGCATAATGATTTTGCATAATGATTTGCTAACTATAAAATATGTGTTTTTAACAAAGAAAATGTTGGCAGTTCTGTGACTTAGCATATTCTATTAACCTTGTATTTGAAAAGGTTTCGCTTTGACTATGAAGCTTTTAACTTTCAGACATGTAATAAGTCGTATGAAGCGCGTTTCAGACTTTTAAAAAATCACTGCATATAGAAGCCAAGCATGTCGTCAGCTAGGACAGAGCTCATTTATGGAGCCATGCATGCATGAAGCCCTAAGCCTAGTACTCGGTTTCAAGAGGAACTCCATCCTCCAAGAGAGAAAATAAGCAGTAGGGAAATCAATACCCTCACAGCAGATGTATTATAAGCCCAGAATTCATGTTCCTTTCTGGCTAGTAGTCTGGTAGAAATAAAATGTTTCAAAATACAAAGGTTTTTGGTTTGGCTTGGTTTATTTTCACAGCTAAAGGTTTGAGGAACACTCTTATTCTTCACTTACCTGTTTTATGAAGTTTATTTAATTTGCTAAATCATATAATTAGGTGTTTAGAGAAAAAAAAAGAATCAAGATTCTATGCTAAGTGTTTCCTGCACCACACTTATTTCTGTATTATGGTTAGCCTTTACACACGTAAGCCAATATTGTTTACGTGAGTAACTGTGTGCACAGCAATCTTGTTTAGACTTTATTCAGTGTCATCCCATATAGTAAATTATTTGATCATCACATCCTTGGGAGTTAATTATAACGAACATTGCTTCTACTTCCTAGCAAAAACTCTGAAGCCCAAGGAAATTAAATAAGGCAAATATTGGATGTAGAAATCCTCATAAATAACATCGAGATCACTTCAGAGTTCTTCTGTATTCAAATTAGTTTTTTTTTCTTATATTGACCATAAACTCATACTTATTTTTTTAAGAAAAGAGAAGAAATGCTAGCATAGCTTTAATGCTAACATCATTGTAGACAGGTGGGGGCAGCCTAAATGCAAGATGATCTCTGAAGAAGCAAGCCTTGAAAATACCTTTAAAAAAATTACAAGCAAAACATTTTTTTTTTATCTACATCATAATTAAGCTAGGATTTAAAGGTGAAGAATTATTCTGTTTCCAAATGCTTACATTTTTAGACTTTATAGAATTTTTCTTTTTGATTTGTTTGGCTTTCTGGATTCTGTTTTGATCATATATTTTTAATATGGGCCTATGGAAACCAAATGTTCATTTTGATATATGTGTGGATATATATATATATATATAGATAGATAGATAGATAGATAGATAGATATAGATATATAGATAGATAGATATAGATATAGATATGTGTGTGGATATATATATATATATATATATAGTATATTATTGATTTCATTGTCCTGTAATTTTATTTAATGTAGCCTTAAGCTTAATTTAGCAACATATTACTCATATTGTTATGACCCAGGAGGAAAAACTATTTTTAATGTACAAAACAACTCCAAACTGTGTACTAAATTAAAATCGCCCATCAATATATTTTCAATGGATGTTTATAGGTTTTCAAATTCATATAGAAAGAGAAATGCAGAGACATAGCTTTATTTCTGTGCCCTCTTTACCAATGAGCCTAAGGAAGCCCCTGCCTCAACTTTCTGAATGGTGAGAGGGCAGGGGTAAGGGTCACTTATGTGCAGCCCTGACTGTTAGGTGATGCTTTCCCTTGATTGCAACATTGTCTCCCCAAATCCAGCACTGAACTGCATCCATACCCCTGCGTTCATAAAAGCCAGGGTGCTTCCGCTCCAGAAGTAACTTCCTATAGAAAGAGGAACTAGGAGTTAGGAATCTAGAAGAATGTACAAGATTCAAGATGTTGACAGCGCTTTTGAAAAATGGGCTCATGGCAAAGAAACAGGAATTCTCAAAGCGATTTCTAATCAAAACACCTTTATAAATACTCATGAAGTCCACCATTAACATTTCACTGTAATGGCAACTTTTACGGGCACATGCCTCCATTCTGTGATTCCATTTTAAAATATGTATATATCAGTTGTTAAATAATCATCCTGTAAGTGATTATCAGATTAGAGAGCTTCTTGTTGGCTAACATTACCCAGCTGAATGCCCTTTGTCAGTGGGAAAGTTATCTCTACATGGAGTTTTAGGACAGAAAGAAGAAATGGTGGTGCATTTGATATCGGAATGGTTATGTCCTTTTCTGGAATTAACATTAGTCATTGTCTATGTAAGGAGCCCATCGGCACCTCTTGGATTTTCTGACATGTCCAGGGAGTATACTGGTCATTCGGGTCCTTTTTGTTTATAACCTTCTGCACCGTCACACCTTCTATTACATCAGTGATTGTCAATTAGGCACTCTATGAATGAATGTGTAACTCCCTTGTGAGAATAAAAGAAAAAAAAAATAAAGCATGTGAAAGAACCAAAACAATAATTCTATTAAAAAAAAAAAGGTAAGTTTGAAGGAAGGGTTGGATTCTCTTTAAGAT